AAGTTTACTCACCTCAGGTACAGCCATCTTTTGGTCGAAACCAAGCTGAATACCACCAATAACAGCCAATGAGCTGCATAACCATGCGACAAATGCCAATATCTGAAAAAAAAAAACAACGAATAAGTTAATTTTGATTTGTCAAACGACTGAGCTTTATTTTGCACGTTTAAAATATTTGTGATGCAATGGGGCGATGTTTGTGAATCAATGTGTGCGCGCTAAATTTAGCCTATTCCAAATCATGATAAATAAATGATTTCAATTGATATTGGATACAGCAACAATCTAAACAGTAATTTTCATATAACTTGTTTGTCTTTTTTAAAATAATACGACGATATCCAAACATGGGATTGCCATTATCCCTGACACATTCATTACTGCAGAATTAACAGCGTGATAGACAAATCACTTTCCAATTTTCGCAACTTCAACTATCGATATATTTTTAATGCTGATTTCTGAACTTCTGATGTCAGTTCGGGAAATGCCAACAGAAAAAGTGAACTTCATTTTGAAGTGAAACTTCAAAAATGAGCTGCTGGTCACATAAGAGTAATGGTCAATCATGGACAATGACAGAACATGAGAACTTACGACTGCAACGCGAACATATTTCGACAGAATAAACGGAGCATAATAATTACTGAACAAGTGCAGCATATAACCATCGTTATTGGACGGTTCTGTTGCGAACTGCTTACAACAACATATCTCTGGACGACCGCTCTGTAATCTTGCTATTAGAGTGAATCAAAGAAAACTGATGATCTAATCGTCAGATGAGCCAAAAACATAAGCGATAAGCATGGTTTAATAAAACTAAAGAATTCATAATTTTTTCAAAATTTGTATTTCCAAATTTAACGGAGATTTTGATTGGCTACGCGAAGCATAGTTTGACAGGTTGATAAATGTGATTGCAATCGTACAATTACATTTAGTAGATGCAAATTTCAATAAGCAATATCTTCGATATTGATGTTGAATTTATACGAATACTGTTAACAACAGGTAAGATAATCAAAATTTTCTGTAACGAATGAAAATGAAGTACCTCTTGCCGCCTAACGTCAAGAATAAAAGTTGAAAGAAAGCAGGTTATCTGCAGGAAAAAGTTGAAAAATATCGCCAGTGCAGCGTACAATGAGAATACCTGAAAGTAATGCAAGAAAATAACTTCATGATTACCAACAATCAGAAAGAAATGGTTACTGAAATATGAAAATCTCATAAATAAATATGAAAATCTCATAATTAAATATGAAAATCTCATAAATAAAATAAATTTAAAAAATCTCATATATAAATATGAAAGTCTCATAAGTAAATATAAAAATCTCATAAGTAAATATGAAAATCTTATAAATAAGTATAAAAATCTCATAAATAAATACGAGAATCTCGTAAATGAAAGAATAAATAAAACCTTGACAGCAGGCATTGATGAAAGTGCTCCAAGAAAGAAACATAAACATTCAGATAATGAAGTGAGTAACATTGACGGTATCACTTCACCGCTTATTCGTGACATACGCATATGTAACGGTTCGGATATCGATGAATCGGATCGCTGCAAATGTTACTGATCACTACATATTCACATTGCTCTTTCAACGATAAACGAACTAGGATATCACTATCACTGTCATTAAAAGATTCTCTGATTCTTGCTCTGAAATTTACAGAGGATGGTTCGAAAGTAATATTTAAAAATAAATTTTACGAGCCCCATTAGCAATGCCAAATGAGGATTGAATTCGTTTTGTTGAAGAAAAATCATTTCCATGCAATTTCCTACTTGGTAGAACAGAGAAGACGTGAACAGAATGAATATGCGATATAAATGAAATTGGTGGTGAAATGGAGAACGATGAGAGGATTGAAAACTGATGAAACGAAAACAAACCTGATAAGCTTGAACAAAGATGAATATATTATCAACACCAACGGCAAGAACGAGGAACGGTTGCACTTCGAGAATGATCATCGTTGCAGGAATACCGTAAAATGCATAGAGACCGATCGATGACGTTACCGATAGTGCCACTATCAGAACACCAGCAACGCCGAGCATTATTTTCGAGTGAATCAACAATGTGCATAGGTTGTTTCCAGTCACCTGAAGACGATCGTTTATTCATACGAAACAATCGAATAATCGTTTATTTGAATGATTGTATCATTCAAATGATAATTTGCAAGTTTTATTGAGATGAGGTGAATAATGGAACAGAGAGTGGGAACGGCGAAGCCCTCACCTGATATTGGCCAAGTGCAAAAGCAACGTAACCAAACATAAACATATAGCTGATAAGTATGGTGAATGCGTCTGACTGACTTTCACGGTCAATTTCATCCTGAAAACAACATTTTCAACATCGAACTTGCATTTACTTAAGCACCATTTCGAAATGATTATTCAGTTATGACAACTGTTCTATTGTAAATCAGTTATTTACTGTTCGCAAAAAAATTCTAATTTGTTGAATCTGGCGATACGTTGTTGGTGGTTCGGTCTCATTACCTTTCTGCCAGTTATGTATATTTGAGGACAAGATGCTATTATCTGAGAGAACAGCCTTCATACGAAATATCAAAAATTGGTTCAGAAAGAAAGTATTCACCTGAATTGAGCGTTCAGCCATAAACGAAATCGTATAGTTGGGATGAGTGATGTTACGCAGATAACGAACAAATCTGCAAAAAACACAGTGAAATATTTGAATGAAATTATGTTTGAATGAAAATCACAAATTGTCAGAATGCTGAATGAGTATCGCTATTACTGGTAATTTCTGGTAAACTGGCTAACGGCACAATTAAGAAATGGGAAAAGAAGTGACAAATATTTTCAAAAAACACTATTTGGATAATTCTCACAATCAAACCGCATTCAATCTAGGCCAGTGGTTCTCATAGGGAGTCAATTTACCCGTTTTGGGTAATTTGGGGGGTAACAGCGACCTGCCGGATCATCAAACAGGGTAATGGAGCACCCGAACGTGAGAACCACTGATCTCGGTTGATGGCTATCTTATATGGAACCATTCAATTCATATCGATTAATACAACTCATTGCTCTATGAATCAATGCAAAACCATCGAGTCAAGAGAACCAACTAACTCCGCTTCCCATGCAATCGCACGCTGATTGTCTTCATGATTTATGTGATTATTCAATGGAACTGTTATGACTACACCACGTGCACTATCATATTGATTTGTTGTGTTGAAATCGCCCAGTACGACATATGGTTGAATCGGAGCACCGAATGCTGAGATGCACGATATGCCGAGAGGAGACGATACTGTGTACGGATTCCTTAAGAATTTTTACTTTTGCACATTCACAAATTACGAAAGCTGAATCAGTTGCCTACAGACACATCAATCATCATTTCTCAACATCGTAAATAACTGACTGTGCACAAGCGAGAATGTGATCCAGGTAATCGAACTGAGTACCCGACCAATCATCTTCATTCACTTCATCCAACAGATGCCTTTCATTCTGCAAATAATATGAAAATACTTGACAATGATGAATTCGAGGGGAGAAAAATTAGATTCGTCGATGATTTGCTCATTAAATGACCACATGAACTGTGTGTGAAAATGATAGATGCGAATACCTGAAAGTAGTTAAGGACACTCATAATGGCGCAATTCATATTGTCAGGTGCCATTGGTTTAAAGCAAACATCGCGAATTCCAATTGAAGTGCCATCGTCGAGTTGCGCTGTCAAAGCTGTCACCGCATTTTGCAACTCGAACACCTGAAATTGATCATCAAGATTGAAAGTGTTTCGACGAATAGTCTGTTATAAATTCTTGAAATCTTTCAGTTTTATTCGTCAGCATTCACGACCATATAATGTTGGAATGTTTTGGTGCCTCCGAAACAAAGTCTTGAGAACATTAACGCGAAATAAGACGAACATTATGAAGAAATGTTTTCCTGAACGCAGGTCCGTAATATCCTTGATCGAATAGATTCGACTGATTATCGTGCAAAAAGAACGTTTGATCGCGAGGGTAGACGATCAATTGCTCGGTTCGATAAAATGGTCTGAAACGACAAACATCAGTCAACGAATCCATGCCCACTACTTGGGCTTGTCCTCAACCATATTCTCGGTTGCGTGGCACCATTACAGAACTGAATCTTTCATTGCAAATTTTATGCTGTCCAATTTCAGTAAGTATTCGTTCGAAAGAACTCTAGTGCAAACCGTTCTTGAAAAGTTCAATCTTCAACTGCAACCTCTAATGAAATGCCACAATACCACTGAATTGATGTGTTGTTTTTGGATTACGCGAAACTTTTTTTAGACATAGAAACGAGTTGAATGGAGCATCAAAACACCGAGCATTAGTACAGAAAAGTATTGAAGCTCTGTGCATTGCTGCTTACTTGACGTAGCTGAGTTTCATTTCCGTTTCGATTATTGACTAGAGTTTGCATCGGATCCGAGGATTTATACTGTGAAAAATCCTGGAGTTTCAGGATTTGATGAAACGCGGCAGTATATACAACTTTGGAAAGCGACTCATTACGAGTTAAACATCAGCTATTCTCAGTTCAATCATATTCAGTAATATTTAGTGTTTACCACTGAAAGGAATAAATTCATACATAATTGTACTCAAACAGCAATGAACAAAAGATTCGTAATGTCATCACCGTTGCTTTGTCTATTGTTTATGACCGTTCCTCAATCTGGGGATTAAATCCTTATCACAGGATTGAGAGGTGGTCGGGATTTTAGAAACATTTAGTATCGAATGATGGTTACATAATGATGTGAGCATGTTGACGATCTTTTTCCGACGAATTAATCAAATTTTTGAGGCATGAAATCATCAAGCTTGAGAATTATTCAAAAGAATTAGCATTCCATTTTAGAAGGCAAACCGAAAGTTTTCAGTGCGGATATCTGATTGCTTGGTGTGTACAACGTCTAACTAGATTAGGTACAACCAAAAGAACATTGTGATGAGGCAGAAAGATTTCTGATCCCAATTTCAGTGAACTTAAGGACATCAATTAGAGAAAAACGATGAAGATGTGAATGAAATGATAGCATTCAGCACTGAATGCCGAAAAGTTGACATTGTTGCGTGGAATAATAACAATTTCGATCAGACAGCAAGTTTGTGTTGACGAGTAATTGCGTTGAAAAACTGAATTAAGCTACACAACAATCACCAGTTTCTGGTGATTCAACGTTACACGCCACAAATTAGGTGCATTCGATTACGAGAACAATTGAATTTTGTGATGATTCACTCAAATGTGGCAATGAAACGGACCCGAATTTGGAATCAAAGAAATTCTTTTCGATGCGAGCACGGCTCGTTCGACATGACCACAGCTCAACTGGATCCGTTGTGAAACGTACGAAGAACAGCCCAGTTGAACATAACATTGCCACAAATAAACCAAAAGCAAACACCGTCAATGGACGACGAGTACATAACTGCAACGCAAAACTGACTGTAATCAACCTGTCGATGTTTTGCAATCTTTATTCTCCATTATTCATTAATTTCGCTTAAAGTGGATAATCTGATGCATATTCAGCGTTAGGTAGATTCACAATACGTTATGTCAGTCATAAATCTATCGGAATGCCGGAATCGATTATATCGATGAAGTTGAAACAAATGAAAAATGAATGTCTCGACTCACCTGTCCATAATGTGCACACATGATTTCCAGTTGCGATTCAATCCACGAACCTAAAGTCTCGATTGGGCCCAAATCCGTATCGTCTAACGTTCCTGCTGCGGGTTTGAAATCACCCAGATCGGTTTCAGAGGTTCGTCGAAGACCGTAATGAACGACGGCAAAGAAAACGATTGCAAAACATAAACCACCAAATGACACCAACGAAAGTATGAGCATACAATCAACTGACGCTATTCGACACTTATTCTGTAAAGAACATTTCATGCTATCGAAATTATTATCCACTTGCAGTTTTAAAAAAAATTCTGTGAGCCATTAGAAATTTGATAGAAAGTATTTGTTCAGTATAATGGATGCATCACAAAATGCTGTCCATTTCAGAAGAATCACATGCTTTTGACTTATTATCACCTAGAAGATTGTAGGCGAATAATTTATCTGAATTCGATCAAACTCGTGAAA